TGGCAGGCTGCGGGGCAGGCTGGGAAAACCCCATTGACCCACCCTGGCCCTTGAGGGAGGGGTAGCCAGAGGCTGGGAGGAGCCGTGGGGTCCTGAGCGGCCAGGTCCCCGGGGCTGCGTGTTCTCGGCCCAGCTTGGCCGCTGGCCGCTGGCCGCTGGCCGGTGGAGTGACCTCAAGCAAGTCGTGCCCCCCTCTCGGGGGCTGAGCTTCTCCCCTGGACGGTGGCGCGGCTGCATCAGATGCTCAGAGCGGCCCGGGAGGCGCGGACAGCAAGATGCTCCTGACACGGCTGAACCACAGAATCCTTTTCCAGAAACCGTGTCCCATTCGTGTCAGAAACTCCAGCTGAGACCTCTCAGAAGCTCCTCCTGTCTCCGTTTTTAAGCATCATCTGAGCAGAGGCACCTGGGTGCCTACAGCACCGACAGGCAGTTCTTCTGTGAGTCAGGCAGTTCCCACAGCCAGAGGCGAGAGCGAGCGGGAAACACTTCCCCTGTGTCCGGGGCGGTGGGGGGGGCCCACACACAGGGCCCCTGGGGTACCAGCGTGAGCACCATCGGGACGAGTCTAGTCGCAAGGACCCAGGAGGCTTCAGCACATCTATGAGCCCCAAGACGGGCACAGCAATAAAAGCAGACATCCGAGGCCAGAGCAGATGCAAGGAGACTATCCAGGCACACGAGCTGTCTGCCCCGTGGCCCGGAGGGTGGGGGGTAGGGGGACTGCGGGTCCTGCTTCTCCTCTCCTCTCCCCCTCGGCCCTGGCCATGTACATTCTGGAAGCGACAGGATGGACTTGCCCAAGATGGCGATGCAGACACAGAGGGAGGGACCTTTCAGATCCTTCCCAGGCATCCCCATTAGCAGAGGGCAGACCCACTGCTCAGGCCTGCGATTCTTGGGGCAGACCTGTGTCTCTCGGTTTTGGGGACCCGCCCAGCCACCCTGGCCATGGGCTCAGAGGCAGGAACAAGTCCTTCCCCGGAGGCGGGGGCTACAGGAGGGGGGGGGGCAAGCGGAGGGGGAAGGTGGGTATGAGGTTCCCAAGCGGGACAGAGTGGGGACCACCTGGAAACCCCAGAGGACCCCCCAGACCACGAACACAGCACCACCACCAGCAGCTACAAACACCAGCCCTCCGGGGAAGCAAGCCAGAGCCTGGGGTTGTTTTTAAAGAAATGCAGTTCGACCTTCCAAGTTCCTTCAGGAACCCAGCCCACAGGACGCTGCCAGGACCTGCCGGCCTCGTCGCAGCAGCAGGTGCTGCTGCAGGAACGTTTAGTCCCTCTACGCAGACATGTGTTGACATTCTAACTAGAATACACGCTACGGGGCTAGGGCTTGAAGTAAACTCGTTTCCCAGACAGTGTGAGGGGAGAGCCCCACCAGCCTGCAGACAGGATCCCCCAGGGTCCACGTGAGTGGGGGACGAGGGCCCGAGGTTTGGCTCTCGTTGCTACAGCAATGGGGAAACGTCACAACAGCAGGGGTAACGTTTCTATGCCTCGACTCGCTGCAAACAGAGCGTCGGGCTGGAAACCTTGTCGTCGGCCCATGAGAGCCCGGCAGCCCGTGTCACCGAGGGCCCAGGGGCACCTGAAACCGCAGCACCTCCAGGGTCTGCTCCTCAGACTCCACTGTACCTGGAGGACACCCAGAAACCACCCTAAGACTCGGGGGTGGTGAGCAGCCAGGAGGGGGTGAGCAGCCAGGAGGGGGCTGCCCACAGAGAGCCGCGAGGAAGAGTATGGCGCCGGCTCTTCCCCGGGGAGGTGGCTCTGGCTGAGGGGCCCTGGCAGAAGGTGTCTCAACTGCACCAGCTGGGGCCCAGGCTGCAG